CACAAACGCTGCCTCCCCTGTCTGTAGTTTCAGGGATGTGACTTCTGTGTGATGACTCCGTGAAGTTAAGAGGATCTGCAGAGGTTAGAATTACAGATGGTATATGCAAAAATCTTTTCATTTGCTTAGCAACTGAGAGAAGCTGTATCCGCCCCAGCACTCCTCTGTCAGTGTAAGCATCGTCTTATGGTTAGCCTGGCACAGCAGGACTTGTCAGTGACCTTTCCTAATGTAACCCAGGCGTTAGCCCCTTGATGAACCGACTCTGTTGTTACACAAGGTGAGATTTAGAGAGGCCAGCAATGGCACTTTAATGCTACAGTTTTTAGGGGGCTTAATACAGATCTTGAGGCATTCCTAAAATGGAAAACAAAAATTCTGCTAAGCTCTTTCATATACATTTTTGAATGAAGCATTAGGGCCTGTATTAATTCAAGAAATTCCATCATCAGGGCTTCCCCCTCCCCCCCTTTTCAGATCAGATCAGCATTCTGCATGCAGAACAACTGCTTGTACTGTGGGGGCACAAACCAGGACAAAAAAATACTGGCAACAGATGGGCAGCCCTGAATGGAAAAGAAAACCTTGAGCTTTTCACTTCTTGGATTAGAATTTGGGAGTGTTACATAAGGAGGAAATGGGGGAAAAAAAAAGTGCAAGCTTAAGATAAAATCTAATTAAAATGCAGACTAATATAATTGAAGAACATTACTCAGGCTTTCTTGTGGAGAGAGAAAAATGTCTGCTATTGTGCTGCTATAGGAACCAGGTAGGGTCCATGGGTAGGCGAGGGTGCATGGAGCATGCCTCTCCCTCCCTCCCCCTTTTCTCTGCCTTGGAATGACGATCCTATCTTGCTCAGTAAGCTTAGCCCTTGCTGGCCAGCAGATCTCTCCCAGTACAGAGAGAAGTTGTTTTCCCGTTTATTTTTTTTTTTTTTTTTTTCTCTTGGAAGGTGACGCAGGGCTGTGTCAGAGGTGGAGTTAAACTGTTTTTCTCGGGCTTTTCACGGGGGTTAGTCTACTTGGCTCTATATGTTGGGAGCATGGGACATATGTAGTGCCATGAACAGAGAGCTTTCTTGTATTTACTCTTATAAAGCCAAAGAGAGAATTCACAGTGCTTTGGAAGTCAATACTTCTCTGGAATGAGCAAACGTTGTCCCTATTTCTGAACACCATGTCCACACTTGTTTCTCTGAAGACACATGTTAGAAGTTAATTACCAAAGCACTAGATAAACAAAGTAAGATTCATTCTCTGTCTCTCGATGGACGTGTCTTTATGGAAGGTGCAAGCTGCATGCAAACTTACCCTCTGAACAGTGGCACAAAGTAAGCTATACAAATGCATCCCTGAAGTGTGGAAGAATGTATTTGCACCAGCTCCCACCCACGACCATGCGGGCTAAGACCTTGTCTCTTACAGCAGTCACTTCTGCATCACTGAGAGGAAGGCATCAGAAATTTTGTATTAAAAAGACTGATGGATAAAAAAGCGTGTACAAGTGTTAGAGCACTTTCTGGTCCATAATACTTAAGAGACTGGTGCAAAATTTGAGATTAATTTACTGCTGCTTATTAATATTATGCTAGCATAAAGTACTGTAAAAATGCATCATTTATAAATGCACACTCCTTCTTTGTACAGCAATAATTTTAATTGCCCCAGTGCCTTCCTATTGACTCAGTGGCTCAACTGTATGTTTTACATGAACATGTTTTGTATTTCAGTTTTTCCAGAAGTTCCAACTAACAATCTGGCTGATTGTTTTGCTTCTGGTGTTCTGAGACAGAGGGAGAAAAACCCATTCTCCAGTTATTTTAGCACTTTCCTCCAGTCTCTAATCAATCATGTCCTTTATAAAAACAGTTTAATCGAGGTGTTGTTTCATTTTCATCACCCTTTCCCATTCCCCTTTTATACCATACCCCTTTACATGTTGGAGACACCACCGCTGCATTCATTGCTATATGTTAGGCCTAAATATTTATTTATGGAGTGGTGTAAGAATATTCTCTTTAGGCCTGTAGAAGGGATCTCTTGGTCATCCAGACTTATGGCCACTGCAGTCAACCACACCATGTAATCCCTTCTATAAACTCCTCCAGCTCTTTTAAAAATAATTTAGACTTGATTTTGCTCCTGCCACTCTTGTTAGAGGGCTGTTCCAGTGTTTTGTTACTCTGACTGCAGAGCTCAGTTTATACCCACTTGTTCTCATGCTGACATTGGCCCTTAGTTTTAACTTTTCTGGCTCTTCCGTTTCCCAAGCCCCACTTTCTTTGTTTTGCCAAACTGAATACACTGAATGTTTTTATCCTCCTCTGAAATAGGCTGTCCAGTATCACCATAATGGTTTTTGTCCATACTTGTTCCACTTGGATTTAGTCTTAACTGGCCAACAGAATCACACATTGTACTGCAGATCTTTTCCAAAATTACTTACCTGATACTGCTGGGTTTACATTTCCCTTTTTACACAGCTCCTACTCATCTTGTGATTAACTAGTTTTTCTTTTCCAAGTGCTGATTTCATAGTCAGTGGAAGAAATTTTTGTGATTAATCTCTGCATGTCATTATTATTATCAAATTTAATTATATTTTTATTAATCCAGTTCCAAGAGGGATGCAGTTTCTCCACTATACTGTTCCCCCCTTGTTTGAACTGGTGGTGACATCTCCCAGCTTTGTCAACAGCAGATTGCATTAGCATGCTTGTGTTCTTGATGACACCACTATAACGAAAATATGAAGGATGACAGGAGCCCTGATGGATCCCACAGGGCAGCTTCCCTTCAATCTGACACCTCCCATATAAAACACCCCTCTGTCGTTGTCTCCTGGTCCCCACATTCTTCTGCTTAAATAGCTGCTTCCTGTCTGGACAGTATCATGTATTATTGACATCAAATAGATTACATCTACCATATTTCCTTTCTTTAGGGAAAAGGGAAACAAAGTTGTAGCAAGGAAAGATATGCTGAAGCAACATCTCATGTAATTGCATACTTTATTTTATCCCATTTATTCCTATATCTTTAACTATTCTTTCCTTCAAAATACGTCCAGATTAGTGTAAATTATTTCTTTAAAGCAAGTATTCGAGAATGATTTGAGTGCTAAAGTAAAACTTCTTGCTCCTTTCACCCTCATCTTCACATACTTGACCTGTCTGCACTCAGGAGAGATTGTTTGGTTTTCCCCACTGCAGTAATTACCCACAACTTTCTTCCCATTACTCATCTTCTTTCTGCTCCTGTCTTTCACATAATCATCTTTATTAAAAATGGAAGCAAAATGCTTATTGGTTTTGTAAATATTGCCAGACTTCCTTCAATCTGTGTGCCCTTCTCCCTGCATGACAACACTGTTTCTTTTTCCCTGGTTGAAGCAACTGCTTCTAGATGCCATTATTTATGTTCTGTATTTATGCATCTTGAAGACAAAACTTTCTTAGGAGTGATCCTCCTCACTGTTACCTGTAGGTTTTCTATTTCTAGTGACCTTTATTACCAAGCTGCTAGGAGATCTTCCGTGATCCCTCTTTGCTTAAGATACAATGTCCAGATCATTTCTGCTGCTTTGGCACAAAGGAAATCCAGTTTTTGTATTCAAGTCCTTGGGTGCTTCAGCCCTCTTGATTTTTTTCTCATTAGGTCTATTACTCTTTCCCCTTTGGAATTAGAATGTGTTTTTTTTTTTTTATAAACCTATTCATTTTAAACTGCAATTATCAAACAATTTTTTTTCCCTATGGCCTTAGTAGCCTTACAATATACTCAGCACGTAAAGAGCTAAACCACTACCACCTCTTGTTGGTCTGGTGGCTGGCAAAGAGAGCTGTTCCTCTACTGTACCACGCACTGCTCAGCCCCAGGCGTCATTCATAGCGCCTGCTCTCGCCTTTGTATCTGGAAAGCAGCAGCTACTGCGGGAGCAGCAGTTTGGTTCATTATATTCCAGGTGTCTTTTTCCGTAGGCAAACAGTTTTATAGAAAGCTCTGCACAAAGGCGTTTGCTGCGATGGTGACTGTCTTTGGCCAATGTCACCGCTAGGCTCCCAGTTCTACCACTGACTCTCTTTTAACACTTTCCCTGCTGTGGTTTTGAGTCAAACACTTGGGGTCTATTCCTTCTTTTTGCATCATTAACGTTCGGTGTTACCCAGTGGTCTTTGCTATGAGGTCTGTCTTTCCCGAATACATGAGAGTGATTTTATCCTGCTCCGTCACCTCTCTCCTAGCAAGCTTTACTTCATGCATGGGCAGGTTTTATTCCTCCATTTTGCTGCTCGGGCTCCTTGCTCATGCCGGGAAGTGTTTCGAGTGCTTTGCATTGACCACTCCCTGCTTCCAGGCTGGCACAGTCCTTCGTTTCCCACCCACCTCTCATTTATATTTCTCCTTCCTGGCCATCATCTTCTGTTGTTCTTTTAACCATTGTCCTATTCTTGTGTTACTCGATTTTTTTCCTCCCTGTTTCTGCGCTGAGAAAGCGCAGACCTCTCCCAGCCTCATCCCATGGTTTCAATTCTTTTTTCCATAGCTGCTGCAAGTTCCGATTTCAGTCCGGTTTTCCAAAGTGTTTCTCCGGGGCAGGGCCGGGAGGGCAGGGAGAGCTTTCGGAGGTGGATGGATGCCGGTGTGGGACCACGGGTATACCCGGACCGGCACCTGCCCCTGCGTGGCGGCAGGACCGCGGCATCCCCGGCAGGGCAGAAACCAGCGAGACGACCGAGGCTTTATGCCGTGCTGGGTACGTTCGAGTCTAACCGGCGGGACTTAGCGCCCGGTCGGTTGCCGTTAGGTGCTGGAGGTGGCTGACGCGCGGGGGTCACCACGCACGCGCCTATCTCCAGGCTTCTCCTCACGCCCAGAAACGCCTCGTTCCTGACAGCGCCCGCCGCCCCTCCCACGGCCCCGTCCGGCCC